CAATGAAGTCAATTTTTACCTGCCCTCACTTCGATTGTTTGAAGCAGGTGAGATGGCTCACTCCTGCGCCACCTCCAGCAACGTCAGCTCTGAAACAAAGGCGGTGTGTTGAATTCTTTGTAACCATTTGCCTAATTTGGCAAGTAAGTCGCTAGATGTACTATCTAGATGTGCATTTTACTTGCCACAGGCAATCTTCATCGTTGAGCCCTGCCTTTTTTACATCCGTTTACATCAGTGTGAATATGGTCTTACTCAGGGCAGCAGGCAGCTTCAGCTCTTGTGCTGTCATCTCTCACATCTGTTGATGCCATCTAAATAAGAAACTGTCTTTCTTGATTGTGCTTACCCCAGAGAAAATGTGAATTCACTATTTTAGCACTAAGATTTAGTTTCAGTCAGAGGAATCAGTTGAAGTCATAGCAGCAGAGTATTTCAGTTTTCTGCCCCTCTTAATGGGTTTGAAGCACACTACTACTGTCGACACTTAGATAACATTTATGTGAAGAAACCGTCACTGTTCACTGCTGTTCACCAAGTTACTGTTAATCTTCATCTATACGGTCGGGCTCGAGGCAGAAAGGTTGCTTTACTCGCAGAATTAATGAAGACACACATGAGCAGCTGCTCGTTTCAGCTCTCTGAGACGGTATATATGTCCTTTAGCATGTTTCTCTACATGTTCCAGCAATAGCAGAGTAACCCGTAGTTCCAGTCTGTAGGCTTGTTCACAGATTCCTTTATAACACTACACTGAGCAACGCTCATCACGTCCTCTCAGATGTAACATTCTAGCATGCCACAAATCATTTTCCTTCTTGCTCAACACTACACAGACAAACGTCTGCATCTCTCTCACAAGTAATAACTCTGCCAGACATGTAACTGTTAGAGCCGGTCTGTCCGCTATAGTGAGTTTCAAGAAATCACAAAGGCAGCTCATTACAATGTATACTTTTTGTACATAGTTGTTAGCATATTTGTTTACGATACACATAGATTTAATTTATTCTTTTGTTAAAATCTGATTTTTGTACGAGCTACTGTAGGACTGCATGTTGATAAACTGAGGCGTCAGTCATAGGTACCGATGCATCGCTGATCATGCTAGAGCACTGATTTGAAAACTGTTAGTGTTCCCTGTTGACACGGAAAAATTTAATATGGAAGTTGATTTATGCGTAGAGTGAAATATCCTAATCATAGTTGTTTCAGAGAATAATAAGATATTTAGGAGATGACTAGTAGTTTGATTTACCTCTTGACCCGTCTGTGGGTTTGAAGAGTAAACCAGACTCTGTAAAGCACAAGCAGTAATGACCCTCTGTGAGACTAACGTCCAGTTTCCATTGGCTGCCCAGTGTCCACTTGAAGTGTGAGGAGACAAGGAACACTAACAAAGCTTTGATTCATTATATAATAGTAAAATTATTCAGATGTAATGAATCAGTAACAAGTTTAGATTTGTGTCCAGTGATAGATTTGCTTGACATCCAGTTCATAAACTTATTACTAGTAGTTTATTGAATTGGCATTTTTAGATGGTAGTGAAAATAATTGTCTACTGCACTTTATCCATTTTAGCATTTTGAAGAAAATGCTGTTACTTTGACTGACTCCAATACTCTGTAGCACCCTCTACTGGTGATCTCACACACTGCAATATGCTGAAGGATGAACCATGAACTGTGTAGAAATACTTTATAACTCCTCCGCCTGGTCGGTGCCAGCTATAGCAGCGTCTGACCAGCATGCACTGTATTTATTGACCTGACAAAGATCATGTTGTTTGGGGGTCTTATCTTCTGTAGAAGTGATTGGATTGCCTTTTACTCCCCGATATCATCAAACTGACAAAGGCCTAACTCTATACCTTCATGTTAGTGCTTCTACACAACACATGGACTGTCTGTAGGCCTTCACTTTCTGGGTATTCTTGAAGTGCAAAGTTGCCAAAAAAAAACAAACTGTTGGGACAACAAATGTTTTTCTGTTAGAACAAAATAATGAACACTGAAATGATCAGACTGAAACTGGGCCTCTGTTTCTGATTCCACCTCTTTCAGATAATGTGTTAATTTTGTATTATTTATTTTTATTTACTGTGAGGTGAAGATGGATAGATCATCTGTAAATGTAGCAAAAGGAAAACCACGATACATTGGTGCCAGTAAACTACTGTGTAACAATAAAAGGTAAACTGAGGTCATTGGTTGATGTGTTTTTGTTTCTTCTGGGGTTTGTCTTTATATTTTCACCACCAAGTGGGGTCAACTTTAGGTATTAAAGCTAATATTACAAATTTACTTCAACACGTTTTATGCTGAGATCCTCATTTGGTTAAGCATCAGCTTGTGGGATGCGTGTAAGGTAAAGTTAATTGTATTAACAGATTAAACTGTCTGATATAATGTGTAATATATCGTTGATTATGTGTGAATTGTTAAATTTGACCATGTGTCATTCAAAGTTTGACTGATATGTCACCAGAGTAATCTGGATTTACCCTCTGAATACCATTTTTACTTCCAGTGAAATAAAACCATGGTGCATCCCCTCTGGAAGAATTTTAATACCTCCAGTGATCCCATAACTTTCCACACAGCACCATCATCAGGTAAAACTGTAGGTCTGTGCAACTGTTCAGTATCGGATTTACACCTGTCATGTATAATACAGGCTCGTCCTTTGCAATTCGCCCTGTATTTTGCTGCACACCCTACTCTAATGCAAACACTAACCTACTTTTGACATGTTAAAAGGTTTCTTGTATAAACTGTGTGCTCTATAATTTCTGCACACCTGCTTTCATGTCCAGGAGAACACAAGTGTCTGTGCCAGAGGTCAGGGAGACACAGTCTACCACAGGACTGAGGGACAGGAAGAAGGAATCTATGGAGAGTTTCCAGAGAAACTGGCATTTTAACATGGCAAAAATGGATGCTAAAAATCAATGTTTTAATGCACCTAAAATTGACTGTTAACGGTGCTAAAAGTCAACATTTTAACACCCCAAAAATTGTGTTTTTATGCAACAAACATTGACAGTAAAAGGCAGGGATGTTAAAACTTTTTAGAATGGGGGCCAGGTAAGATATTGTGAAAATACCTGGGGGCCAGCTGCCTCTCAAATCACATGGGTCTTAAAGTGAGAAAGTATTTAACTTTCCATCACTCCTGAAAACAGCTGCCCTCTCTCCTGACTTTACGCTTTGTTACTGTGGCCATGTCTGCGACAGAGAAGGAGATATCTGGTGCTAGGTAGCCTGTTTGTTTGCTTGTTTACCTTCTATCCATAACAAACACATTAGTTCTGCCTGCATAGTTCTGGTACATGTCTACAATCAGTGTGAAGTGATCTTGCTTGATTATTCAATATTGTGTTAACCATATAGTATATTTTGAAAGACAAGCAGAGGGCCATTTAAAATCTGTCTGTGGGCTACAATTAGATATCGCTAGTTTAACGTGCTAAAAATCACCTTTTCAGCATGCTAAAAACTGTGACGTTAATGTGCTAAAAATCACATTTCATCCCGTTAAAAATCAATGTTATAATGCACTAAAAATCAGCATTTAAACGTGCTGGAAGTTGACATTTTCTACACCTTATGCCTCATTTTGACTTGTAACCACTGTGATACCTCTCATAGCCAACTGGTGTTCCATTTTTGTGTATGAGGGGTGTGAGAGAGGATGGTTGGTTGAGGCACATTTTGTGGCTGTTGCTGTTGCCAGCAGAATCGTTGGTGGAGCAGTCAAGTTTGGTTCTTTCTGTTATTTCTCAAGTCTCTCATTTGTCCTGTCATGTCTGTGCATTTATGGAGCAGATTCATAAAGCCCCAGGATCGAGCTAAACTTTCGTTCAACTCACACCTGGTAAGTGCCGTTTATTTTGGTTTTTGTAGTTGAGTTAACGTTATTTTGACACGATGAAGTAGTTTATTAAGTCTTGTGCACTGGCCGCATTGTTGATGTTCATGACTTGGATTTAGCTGTAAATTTAAGTTATTGACACTATACACTGATCTGCCAAAACATAAAAACTACTGACAGGTGAGGTGAATAACACTGATCATCTCGTTGCAGTGCAATGTTTTGCTGGTCTTCCTGGCAGTCATGTGGGTACCGCCCTCATAGCAACAACACTCCACCATGGCAGTGGCCCTCAGCAGGACTGTACCAGGCCACATTGCAAAAACTGTTCAGGAATGGACCAAGGAGAATGACAAAGACCTCAAGGCATCAAAATACACAAGATCCTCATCTGATCGAGCATTTGCTGGACATGCTGGTACCCTAGAGGTAACCTCAATCCACAGGTGGGTCTCCTTAAATCGGACTTGTCTGTGACCTGTCGGGGCATGGACACAGGACCTCTGTGTGTTGTCTGGCTCCAGGGCTTTGGCTGTTGATCCTTTGAGTCCTATGGGTTGTGACGTGTGCTACTGGAACGTCCCCCAGATGCTGGATCAGATTGGGATCTGGGGAGTTTGGATGCCAAGTTGACGCTTTGAGTCACATTCTTTTGGCCATTCCTGAACCGTTTTTACAGTGAGGCCTGGTGCATCGTCCAATTGTACCGGGGAGTGCTGTTGCTAGGAGGAGGAATACTTGGTATGCAACGGTGTTTGGCTGGGCTGAGCATGTCAGGTGGCATCCACGACTGAAGCTCAGGGGTAGAGCAGGTCATCCTCTTATTGGAAGATCAGCGGTTCGATCCTTGGCTCCTCCAGTCTGCATGTGAAAGCATCCCTGAGCAAGTAACTAAACCCCAAAGCTTCCGTTGGCTGTTTCATCAGTGTGTGAGTGTGTTAAAAACTGAGTAGCCTGAGTAGCACCTTGTATGGTAGCCTCGGCCACCATTGTGTGAATGTGTGTGTAGATGGGTGAATGCGACTCATAGTGTGAAAAGCGCTTTGGGTGGTCAGATGATTAGAAAGGCGCTATACAATTTACCAAATAAACAAGAACAAAGATGTGTATCTTTCACACTTTTATTTACACACTCTTAACATTTGAAAAACACAAACACACAACTTAATACACAACGTTAAAAACATAACCTGGCCTTAATTCAGTCTTTTATATACAGTGCAATAACAAATATACAGTCAAGGCCAGATCATATAAGGAATTAAAAAGCCACGTTGCAATGACTTGATCACATAAAATATACATATCAAAAAGATGCATTTTTTATTGGAGAGAAAAAAAAGTGTTAAACGTCAGCAGCTTGTTCAGCGAACAGCGAGATCCATTGTAGAGTTTATAAAAGTGAATAAAAAAGAGTGTATAATAAACCTTGATGATGAATTTAAAGCATCACTGTTGGGTTACAGCGTCATGCCAAAAGTCCGTGTTATAACTGTTGTTTCACACTAAATTCAGTCTGACAGGCTCTTCTGCCAAAATAAAACACAATCTATCTATGACACATCAGATTATTAAAATTACAAAGTGTAACAGATCAATTCTACATTTCTTTGGTAAATTAGCTGTATCTCTGTGGACACCTTTAAAAAAAGGAGTATCCTGATTACAAAATGATTTCTCAACACATTTCTCTACATATCGCTCAAACTAACAACACAGTTTGTCACCACGTCAGAACCCGTGTAAGGTCTGCTAATTTTATCACAGACCCCACAGTATTAAGTCTTATTAACAATATGACAATATGTCACATACAGCACTTGTCTGTTTAAAATAAAACACTAGCTTATGATTACGTTAGAGGCCGAAACCTAAGGCCCAAGACCACTAAGTCTCTACAGTCTCTGTAAACACAGATTAGACTTATTGTTTTTCTTTTCAAAGAAAAAGTCACTGATTCAGTCTAAAGGAAGGCAATGAGTTTGTGCCACTGAGTCATCATCCCGAAAAATAAGTCAGAGGGGCTCCTGTTTTATTCCTGAACCTTTCGATATGTGATAAATGTTCTCAGCGTTCTTCTCCAGCCTTTTAGTGGCAGGGGTCAAAGGGGTATTTGGCGACACCTCCACGAAGCTCCACCTCTGACTCAGACCAGGCGAGGATGTCTCCTCTGAGGTGGCTGCCGCAGGACGCCAGGCTGTAGATGTCACTGGGAGTCAGGACATGTGACCACATGTGCAGGTCGGATATCTCGCCCACAAACGACTGAGTGGCATCGAAACGACCTCCCAGAGTGTCCTGAGGTAGGGAGAGAAATGAGAATGTAATTAAAGCAATTTATCCACAAATACAGGTAAAGAAGAGCCAAAAACAATGGCTACCCTGGACTGTAAAATGTTTCAGGCTCTAAGCTCTTCATTGGGCATGTATTTGATATTTAGCATAATAAATTCTCCCCCTTTCTGCATCTGTAGTGTGCATCTACAGGGAGTGAATCTCTTTGTCTTTACCTGTTCCTGTCCCAGGATGAAGACACCTCCAGGTTTGATAGGGTGCCAGGGGGAAAGATTTATCCCAGACCCCCTCTGCACTCCATCCTGGTAGGCCTCCCACTGTCCGTCTCTTGTTGACCAGGTCACACACACGTGGTGCCACTTCCCGTCACCCAGAGACAGGGGCAGCGTCGCAGCCTGGGGATGGTGAGATACAGACTCAAGTTAACACAGGTAAATACAGAAGTGAGAACATAGTTTGTGGGAGATTGTGTGTGTAATTAAAAAACCCTTTTTTTTATGCAAAACAAGTGCAAAACATGGATGTATAAAGAGAATAACATAATACTGTGTTGGAGGCAGGGCGCCTGTTCATGCCTATGAAAGTTGTTCTGTGAAATATTACAGTATGCAAACAGTGAACACTACGCCAGCATAAATATCCCATCATGCAATGCGTTAGACGAGACAAAAGTTGCAGTAAATGACAAAGTTCATAATAGACAATGGCAGGCAGTGACCAGACAGCTCTGTATCGTCAGTAACCCTGCAGTTTAACTCTTAAGTATAAGATTTCATTTTGTTAGTGATATATATTTTAAATTAATCTTAAATTTCCAGTAGATCGGAGGTTGGTACAGGTTACCATGGTTATCTGTCTCTAACAGTCAATGAGCCTCTCAGGCAGTCTCAGTGTATCCGAAAAGATAAATACTGTTGTTTATTCCAGGCCCCCAGGAAGTGCACCAGGCTTTGACGCCAATTGTTTATAGTGGCTAAATGTGGAATTACAACCTCTGGCTCCATCACGTGATGCCACTGGGCCCAAAAAGATTTTTTCCCATTGATTTTCATTGTGAAAGAGACGTCTCTGAATCAGTGAATGCATTTTTTAGAGCATCACAACCTCCTCAAAATGACTGCATTCACTCAGCTCGAAACCATTTCTGAAGCCCAGAAGAGCTGCACAATTACATCATTTTATCTCCATGTGAGTTAGCTGAATGCAAAACTAGAAGTTAGCCGCTCAGTCGACGCTTGATCTATGGGCTCAACTATGTGGAAAATCCAGGTAATTTTATACCTGGGAAGTTGAATTTTATTTTGCTTCATGCGCCACTGAGCAACTTTTAATGAAATGAATGGGGCCCTGCCTCCAAAGCTGTATCCAGCTCTCTTTATAAATCAGTGTAAACAAATGTTTGTGATTATAAGACACATATTTGGTATGTAGTGAATAGTATGTGATATTGAACGCAGCAACTGTTAATGTAGGTTCCTGTCACTCTTATTAAGCAGCTGATTGAGGAAATGTGTCTCTAAACCTTTGACACTGCAGTAGGGTTTCTGTTTATCCTCCCTCACCTTGTCGTCTATCAGCAGCTCCATGGGGTTGCTGCCCCACTCGATGAGCACCAGTTCATTGGCCTGTCCAGGTGCGGAGTAAGAAAAAGGTGTCCCCAGGACGGGCCCAACACCCGCCTTGATCCAAAGACACAAAGTCAGAGCAAAGATCTCCTGCATCAGCGTCCTCTTCATCCGCCCATACATGTAGTTGGTCCTCATGGGGAAGCTGATCTGGAAGGCATCGGGACTCTTGAATTTCTTCCTGGAACCTGTCATTGGAGAGAAACAAAATCATACCATGATAAACAATTCACTTTGAGTCATGTCAGTAGGTTTATTTACTAACTGTTCTGGTCTGGAGCTTTCGATCGATTACTCAGCAGAATGAGTTTGCTGAGTCAACTTGAAACTATTTAAGACGCTCAAATTTTATTTTTTTCTGAGCAATTTGAAAGTGTAGTCCGCTATGTTAATTCAATACACTTTTTGTCAAATTCAACGATAATCTCCTCATGGACTGTTAGCTGTCTGGTCTTTGTGCACACTAAAAAAATCTGCTGTTCATACACAGCCCTGGGTCTGTAACTATAAAACAAATAAAGTGGCTTGGACGAGTCACACAACACTGTGCCGGCTAATCAGCAAAAGTTGTGGATGTTAGTGCTTATGTACAGGACAGGAGGAAGGTCATGGATATAAGGGAATGGTCACACATGAGCAAATGCAGGCAAGTGACTATCACCTGACGAGGTAATAATATGTGGTGGTCATGTACCTGCGAGGTGCAGCTGGTTGAGCACTGACTCCAGTTTATTTGCGTGGAAACCAGTCCGTGGCCCTGGTTCTCTGTATCCTGTGTGTGACAGGTAACTGTGACTGTCTGCTTCGTTACTGTGGTGATCATCATGATCATAATGATCATGATCATCATGATCTTCGTGGTGACTGTCATGGTGGTCGTCATGGTCACCATCCACATCATGATGGTCATCATTGTGTCTGTCATCATGATGGTCGGTGTGGCTGTCGCTGTCGCTGCCATCATTGTGGTCATCCTTGTGGTCATTCGGGTGTCCGTCGTCGTGGTGATCATCATCGTGATGATCGTCGTCGTGATGGTCTCCGTCATCTCTGTGGCTGCTGTCGTCATCGTGGTGGTCCGGGCTGCTGAGGGCGGAGGTGTGATGGTGCAGCTGCTGCTCCAGAGCGGTGATCTTCCTCTGAAGCAGCTCCTTCAGAGAGCTGGAGTAGGCGATGGATATGTTCCTCTTCTGCTTGGGGAGGTGAAGAACACACAGGTGAGGTCTTGATAAGCACTTCCTGTCACTTAAAGGGATATTCCCCCACAAATGACCGTTCATATTGTTTAATCTTGGTCTCATTTATCCAGCTGTGTACTCAGTACTTACCAAACACATGCATTGTTTGTGCCCAGGTGCACTACTCTTATATGAATGTTTTAAATGTTAACATTTTAGCAAAAATGCATCCATTTGGGAAGTTCTGAGTTCACGACTGGATAAATGAGACTGATTATAGTTTTGCTGAAGGTAAACGTGGACCCCAATGACTTCAATTCATCAAGAATTTTTCTCAGTTTTTGGATTTTCCTTTCTTCGTAAATTCATGCGAGAAAAACAAAGTTTTCTTCATGAGTTCAACGAAACACTGTGAGAGTAATTGATTTACAAATGATCATTTTGTGGGTGAAGAATTACTTTAATCCCGCTGCTTCCAACAGAAAGGCGTCAGTGGTGCTTTGGCAAAGACACAAACTGACCTCAAGGGATCGTGTCAGAATGTGTCAGTCTGTTACCTGCACTTATGTGTTTATTGAACTTCTTGGCCTACTATTTACATTCACTAGTAATCTTTCAGTGTCACATGCAACAGTCAGCTATTTATTTATGTTCTTCATGTATATGTGTCTGCTCCCCTTCCTCTTAGGTAATCCAGGCTTTGCCCTGGTCCATGCCCCGATTACCAGACTGTCAAGGGAGATCACGGTAATTACTGCTGATGTTAGACTCGTGCCACCACCCAGCCAACCCCCCCTTACACACTCCACAGCCCCTGACATCTGTCTGTGATCACGATCCACGGAGGAGAGCCAGCAGGAAAGGGCAGACAAATGTACCGGGAGAGTAAAAACAGTGAGTAATTAAAGAGGCGACCAAAACGTTAATGTGCCCAGTTAATACACTGCAGTAACGTCCATCGCTGAGGCGCCCACTGAGGGACATCAGAGTGACTCTCTTGGCAATGTGTTGTGTGGCTTACTGCAGTTAAGTAATTGATTGTTCCTTTGTCTAAAGTACTTAGCAGATATACTACTTTGGGACTTCCGGTGATGACAGCATCATCATGTCTAAACAAATGAAAGCCATATATGGGCTGGCTGCACATCTCAAGCGTCTCTCTACTTATCTCTTTCCTGTTCATCAGCTGTATTATATTTACTTTACTTTTTGTCTGTAGTTTTATTATTTTTGATTATAAAGCTGAAAAAGTTTCCTCCTCTTGCTGCTCACCTGCAGGTTGTCCAGCCTCTCCTTCAGCGCATGCAGCATCCTCTCCATCTGCTCTGGTGAGGATGTGATCTCCCCTGGCGTCACATGTTTATCCTTCGCCTGATGGTTGCTGCTGTGCCCTCCATCAGATCGTTGCCCCCCTACAGAGGGGTAGTGCGGTGAGTCTGGGATGAGGTTTCCATGGTGACCCTGGTGGTTGCTATAGTGCCCGTTGTCATTGTATGTGTGATGGCCGGCCACTGATGCGTGATGAGAGTGCGAGCCTGTGCCGTGGTGCTCGGTGTGAGGCGTCGCATCCCGTCCGAGGCCCTCGCACAGGGTGAGCTTGGCCGTCAGCTCCCTGATGGTCTCCCTCTGGTCCAGGATGGTCTCTTTCTGCTGAACGAGGCTCTCCCTCAGGTGGAGGATGGTGGCTTTGGCCTCTTCGCTCGCCCCCCACCAGCCAGCAGGAGGTGCACTTTGATGGCCTGGCCCGCTGGGCCCTGACGCCCCTACGCATGGACCCCCTGCGGGGAAGCAGGCAGGGTCTGCATCCACGGGGATAGGGGTGCAAACAAAGCGTGGGTGTGCTCCATAGTCATAGTCAGACCCTGTGCTGGCAGACGCAGGGCAGGGGAGGAGTGAATGTAAAGAAAACACAATAGGAGCGAGGAACAGGTGAAGCAACTGAGAGGTCCTCATAATCTCCATCCACAGTTCAGCCAGTAAGACTAAGGAGCTTGGCTTCACTTCAAAATGTGTGATGCCAGTTTAAGGTAAAGGTTGCGTTGACTTCTTTGTTGTTGGAGAGGAGACATCGGGGTGCACAATAACAAAGATCTCAAAGTATCTGTGAGGAACAATGTGAAATAACAGTTTTATCTTTTATCTTCTTCGTCACTCAGGAGATTTAATTTTATTCTGGATGTTGCCTTGTCTCCTCTGTCACTGAAGAATGGAGAAAACCTGTAAGACAAAACATCAGATTTTAGATAAAGGTTTTTTAATAGTGCCCACAAAGGGTTCACACAAAATAAAGAAGCTTTTTTTTTTGAGACCCTGTCGCTGCTTTCTTAATTATGCTGTCGTCACAACATAATTGCTGTCTGGATTATGTTCAGACAACGACAACGTTTCTCTCAGGTAACGAAACACTACATTTATGTACCAGGTAGGCCTCGCAAGGAGTATGGCTGGCATATGAAATGCACCTTGACACCAGAACCCATGACCAGACTTTTGTCTGATGGCACAAATACACTTTGGTTAAGGTTAGGGAAAGATCGTGATTTTGGTTAAATTTTAATAAAAAAAAAAATAATGCTGTAGTCACTATAAGTGGATTAAATATTGCAAGATTGACTATTTTTGGCGGAAAACAACTGAAATCCTTTGTCAGTGAAGATTTTTTTTTGATACATTCAGTATCAAAATTTTGCGACTTGCCCTGTAGTTTAACCTCTTGTGACCCTGCGTCCTCATATGAGGATGTTAGATTTTGGGTTTGCTGCAGCTTATACTTCATTTTGTTTAATTTAGACCTGTTGTCCTCGATTGTGGACACTTTTTTCTGCCATCTAGTGGTAGGAAAAGCACAATACACTAATCCATGTAAAAACAAGAGGCAGCCATGTATGCCAAATCAGCCTACAGCCGATCCCGACACAAAAGTGAGCAAGGTCTTTCCCAAAACTCTCCACTGTTCAAAGACAATGCTCAGTCTTTTCATACTTATCAGGTCCTACTCATCCCAAATAGCTAGGACATATTAAAAATGCATACCACACAAAAGCTCTAGTCTTAAGGAGGTTAATCAGCAACATTTCCTTATTATTCCCTGTTATGTCCTTGATTATAAGGCTGTAGTTTTTTTGACTACATTAAATTTTCAGGTTTATCTTGTCCCAGTGTATCTACAGGGCAGACATGAGTTGATCATGTCTTCACTGATATAGTTGGAGTCAGTGTTCTTAAACAAAAAAAGGATAGTGAGAGGAGACATGTTTAGACCAGGCTGACATATAAAACGTCGTCAGTTCTCAGCAGGATGTGATGGAGGATGAACACCTCAGCGCGTCGTCTCCGGCCCCAGTTAGCTGCAGTCTGTCTGACCAGTAACCTTACACGGTGCAGGCATGAGCCAAAATAACCAGAGGCTGTCCAGACAAGGATTAGTCCAAATCAGAAGTGTGGCATCTTGATTGAACCAGACAACGAGACTTTTGTCGGTACCTTTAGTGTTTGATGTTTTTTACCTCCTGGAAGGCTGCAAAGAGCCTTTCAGTGTTTTATTTTTTATTTAAAGAGTTAAATTTGATGGTTATTTAAAGGGTAACTTTGGCATTTTTTAACCTGGGCCCCATTGTCTATGTTTTTGTGTCTAAGCGACTGATGTGAACAACAATTTTTGAAATTGATACATTTCTGAGAGATAGGGGGGCAGCTGGCAGTGTCTTCAATGTAACCAGATGGGGCAATTGTGCACCGTCACTATACATCCATTAAATGTGGTTATTTTTTGCTACAGACAGGCTCAGGTTGTTATTACAGGTGTTTCTATATCATTCGCTTAATCTGGTCTGTTTGTGTGTTGTTGTTTTTTTAAGATTTTCTTTTGGCACTTTTGCCTTTATTAGATAGGAAAGTCTTGTGTGAAATGGGAAGACATGGAGGGAGTGACATGCAGCAAAGAGCCAGAGTTGGAACTGAACATGCATCTACGACAAAGCCTTTGTACGAGGGGTGCCTGCTCTACCAGGTGAGCAAGTGGGCATCCCCGATCTGTGTGTTATTGTGTCAAAGTCACGCTCAAGGAGAAGGCTTGCAAAGCCAAGCCTGACATTTTGTTTGCACAATTCAGAAAGCCGTAATTACAAACCATTGTTTTTTTTCTCTTCTGATCTTTTAGATATCACTAAACTATGTTTTCTGTCCTCCAACAAAACAAACTATTCCCGACACCACTCTGAAACTCTCGCTAATGTTTCCCCTGTTGTCTTCCTGCAACAGGTCACATCTTCAGACTTCAAACGAAACCTCTCTTTGAGTGAGATTCAGACACAAAACTGTTAAGAACTGTTGTTCACATTGGTCTCTTAGACACTCAAACATGGGAAAATAGGGCCCAGTTGAATAATACCAAAGCTCCCCTTTAAGTCTTAGGCCCGTAGGATTATAATTAAAAGCAGTATATCGTTTAAAATCTGGATCCCAGCATGTAAACGTTCATGTGTCCACGTGGCCCCATATTATATTCTCTGTGTCTATATCACAAAGCCCCTCTGACCCCTCTGAGCACTGTAACATGTCCTTCATTATACAGGGTCGGCATTTTGAAATGGCACACACGTGATGAGGCAGCTAAACCTCACTGACCACCTGTTGCTCGCAGTGACCAGCCTCCACAATGTGTGAGTGTGTTGACAGTTCATACATGATTCACTGTACTTTATCAATAATGAAACACAGTGAAAACATACATACAAATATAGCCTGTGACAAAGATCACGTCTGCCTTCACAGAAATCTCCTCTTTAATTGCCAATGCAAAAATTATTTATTGAGCTGCACAAACTGGAGAATTATTCCTTGATGTTTTATTATAATCATCTTAACGTTCTTATCTTCATAAAGAGGAAACAACCTTTGAACTGAAGCATGTTCTGTCTCTGAGGTCCCTGTTGTGATTTACGGGGCTTAGAGGGCAGACAGATGGTCGCGGTACAGAACTGTGTCACACCCAATCACCACAGTTTAACCCTAAGTTTATTACCACCCACAGGTCACTCAATTAACCTAATTGCAAACAGTTGTTGTGCCACCTTAGCCAGAGATAAGTGGGCTTGCATGCTTCTGTGTGTGTGTAATCCACGGTGAGCGCAGGGGTCGTGCACCATCCCCGCGCCATATGGTCAAGGTGGATATTTTTAAGTAGTGCGATTAGTCCCAAATTAAAAACTGACAACAGCAGTTAGACCTGTGATTAAAAAACAGCCAGCTGACAAACAACATAAAGAGCTCCTGTATTTGTAAACAAGCAGATTCTTTCTAGACAGAGAGTGGATGAGGTTTAAACTGTTATTATAATCAACAAGTGCATTACAAGATTAATGTCAGCCTCATTATCTGTTGAGTGGCTCTCCTATAAACTGTTGAGACACTTTGTCAAAATAAATCACAGTTTAATGTCTTCTTCATTTCAGATCACACGCACATACACTTTCTAGTCCTTCTTGTTTCCAGTGTTTTGTTTTGCTGTACAATAATTCAAATATACATATTGATAGTAGATAAGCAGATACACTGCACACAAGAGGGCTGAATTGCTTCTTCTTTTAATATACTATTCACTTTGAAATGCTACAAACAACGTGTTTTGCATTGTAGCATTGTAAAGTGAAGACTAAATTAAAAAAAAGAAGCAATTAAAGCCTCCTTTGTGTGCGGAGTATCTGCTTATTTACTATCAGTCTGATGTTTCCTGCTGTCACCTGCACCAGGTTATGAGGACTGACAGCCCTATGCACAGGGACATGTGCCTCTAAATGAGTTCAGACATATGTATATTTATTTTTTCCCCCTTTTTTTTCATTGAATTTTACACATTCACAATAACAATTTAACAAAAATGTGCATATATTACCCCCAACGCTAGCAAAAACAATAATTAAAAAATGACAGCAGTCCATAGCTTCCATTCAATTTCATATCATTCAACATTATGATTTTCTAAAAACCTTGTATAAGGTCTCCACTTGTCTTTTCTTTTCTCGTTCCTAGTTTTAAACTGTATCTGCCATTAAAATGCCTCTTCACTTAAACCTATGTGATGCTAAACATCTATTTAACTTAAGATCATATAGATTATCTTCCCCTAAATGTTACATTATGTAGTAAATTATATTTTGCATGCTCTTTTATATCAGTCTAGTTGCTTCATATACAGTTTTCCCCAACAATAAAGACGGAGCATTAATTCTCAGGAAAATAAAGTTTTAAATGCTATTTATTTCTTGTCATCATTAGTTGTAACATCCATGTCCATTTTGTGTAAGAGCACAGTCTGTTTTTAAAGTTTGGTTATCTCTTAAGATATATAGTGTGGCTGGTATCCCATCCACAAACTCTGTAGTTCATTGTCATGGCCAGCAACACATATTAGGACAGTGAGTAAAAATGAAAATCAATAAAAATCTATTTTCTGATCGACTTTTTATTCCGCTTTAGTTGGAATCTGACAAACTGCAGCCAATTCCTTAAACGTCCTTAAACAAAATATGTGACATTGTAATTCTTCCATTTATCCATCAGTTAACTTGTTTCAGGTTCCTTCATTTACCTTACCCTACATTTTAAGACGATCTAAAAAATATAAATCTAACTCTGGTTTCAGTCATTGTCCCTCCTCACTGTGTCTTTTCTGTCAGGTGTAACAAACATGTCACTGATGATCTCTCACCTGCCTTTAGTCACTGCAAAGTTACACCCAGCCAACAAACAAACAAAAAAGAATAAATGAAAATTAAAATGCTTTCAGTAACTGACATCAACAACACCCAAACACACATTTCTGTCTTTTGCAGATTGTTGCAGGTGAAACTGCTTTAAACACAGCGCCTCAGTTGTTTTATTACTTTCAACAAGTTGTTCAGATTTCTCACTGAAAAAGTTAATTTGCTTCTAAACTGTAAAAGCTAAACGCAGCGCCACACTGCAGCTCTTTACTGTCCTCTGTGTCACACCCTGTTGAAACACCTTAACTAATATAAAACACATGAAGATGCTGTTCCAGTTAGATGAACATTGTAAATGCATCCTTACCTTTGAGTCCCAGTGGGTGCAGCCTGTGTATCCACACTGTGGTGAGTTAGTCCACCTCACACTCTGATCAGATTGAGAGAGATTTACTCCAGAGAAGAGCTCAACTCTTTCTACCCCTCCTTCGTGTCTCTGCCTCTCTGTTCTCTCCTCCTCTCCCTCAGCTTTGTTGTGTTTTTCTTGTGAGACCACACCTCTTTTCCTGACACACTCTTTCGACTGCTTGGCATCACATTTACTCCATCATCTCTATTTTTATCCTTGATATGTGATCATATTAGTTATATATTACCCAGCTCCAAAAATGTACATAAAAAGTTTATTTTTTTTAATTTGACCTCTGATTTGCAGTCATCCTCTCTACCAGCACACTATCATTGGCTCAGATCCTCCAGCACGACGTCACACAGCTCACCTAGATCTCAGCACGGGAGTAATTGGCCTGATTAATTGCTCGTCTCCTCCAGTCTGACTGACAGCCAGAGACAGGCAGCCGCGGGACGGCAGATGGCTGATTTAAGGTCAAAGAAAATCACACAACAAACAAACAATGGAGCCAGTATGTTAAGTACAGAACAGACATTTATTCATTAACATTAGATAACAAGTTCAGACACAGACACATCTCTGATTTTAAAAAGAACCCGCACTTCTCCTGGTCTTACAAAATAAATGTCGCACAAGTCTGGGCATGGTCACTTTTAAAAGATGGTTACTTGTGTTATGCGTTATCTTAAAATTCATCCCAGTCACCAGATGAAAATGTTGCCACTGTATGTTTCTGCAAACCACATATACATTCTATTTGTATGTTTTATATGTTTCATATTAACATTTTTAAAGTGACATAGGCTAGTTCAGACTACATGTATATGAGCTGACTTTGTCATCTGGAGGTGGAGGGGATGGTGGATGGTGTGGCCCCGGGCGAGATGCCTGCCAACCTGCAGACCACTGTCCAAGACAAACAAATAACCACAATAAACCACTTTTTTAAAGAGCCATCACTGCGTCTTGCAGCATTTTTTAGGCACCAAACATGATTGTTTCTTAGCAACCCATCGCTGTTTTTCCACTGAGATAGTGCCATGAAATGCTGTTGTTTTTTAATGAGACATTATTGCGCTTCCTGCTGGGACGGTGCCGCCAACCCAGCCAACATTTGTATGTGGGGCCCATGTTGGTAGTAAACAGGCTGAAAAATGGGCCCTATATGGGATTGTTCATGGGTTACATATTAGCCCCATGGCAACTGCCCACGGGTGGGTTTACCCAAGTGGGCCTCAGATAAGATGCCCATTGTGGGCCCATACCCACTTGGTACCCAGGTAGCCCCAGCATAACCACGTGGGGCCCACTTGGGTAAAGCCATCAATGTGGGCAATTGGCATGGGGCCAGTTTGGAACCCATGGACAGTCCCATTAAGGGCCCATTTTCAGCCCACATGGGCCCCAAATGCAAATGCTGGCTGGGGAAAGGGGGATGTTTTTCACTGAGACATTACTGCGTCTTCGTGCGGCTTTTTAGCCACCAAAACCAGATATTTTAAGTCAAAACATGATCGTCTCCTCACCATAACCAGTGGTTTCTGTGCCTAAATCCAACCACACGTTAACCACAGCATTGTTGAAACATAAAATTTTAATGTATCTGCTACATAATATCGCACAAATGTGACATACCACTGGGTTTACATATACGTACAATTCCAACATTTAAAGTGGCAATTGGGACGTAAATTGCTGGCAGTACTTAAGTAGATCTCCTGCCAGTAGAAGAAACTATTTAAGTAGACACTGACTTTAGATTTTTTGCCAAACTCTTGCTAGTTGATAAAATAGCTTGTAATCTAACTTAATCAATCAGAGCACTGAGACCAAAGTGCACTTGAACTCAACCAGCCTGATTATAAGAGCTTGCCTTTCAGTTCTTGTGACGCGTGTCGTTGAGTATTGAGGATTAAATAGGGGTGAAAAGGTTAAAGAGTCAAAGTTTGTGCCCTGGCTCTTGTGTCTGCCTCTTCCTGTGTAATTACATTTTAATTGACAGAGGTCACGACAGGATGTTTACAGGATTTATTTCCATCATGGTCCCTTTTGTTCCGTCAGTCCAAAGCGGGAGACATGTGACCACAGCGCGCCACGTCCCAACAAACCCATCTATTTACAGATAAATGTGCCAGAAAAAAAAGATTTCAATGCAGTAAAATGACCATGACCTTACTTGGACACATTATCAGTCTCTGTTTGACCATTTTTTCAAAGGCTTGTAGGTTCTGAACGTCCTTTATCACAAGAGGCAGTTTGCTCCACTGTGTAGCACCAGCATAGATAAAAGAGACCTACCTATCATTACTTTGAATCAGTAAAGGTTTCAGTTAGTTTCCCTAGCCTCTTTAATTGCCAAGGTAACTAGGTGATCTGCCATTTAAGACCCTTTAAGTTGGCTATAACCAGTGGTGTAGTGGAGGGTATGCTCAAGTATACGGGGTATACCCACTTTTTTTTCTATCCAGTTACAGTATACAAAACTATTTTTCAGTCTAGAGTGTTTTGATGTGAATTGCAGAGTGTTGGAGATATCAGCCGTAGAGATGTCTGCCTTCTCTCCAATATAATGGAACTAGATGGCACTCAGCTTGTGGTGCTCAAAGTGCCAAAAAATACATTTGAAAAGTTCAACAGTAATGTCTCTTTCCAGAAATCATGACCCAGTTAATCAAGATAATCCGCAGACCTTGTTGTGAGCAGTTTCATGTCGGAACTATTTTCTTTCAGAAGGAAGCGTGCATCTACTGCCAGCTCACCTACCACCACTGAGATAACTAATGTTACAGCTCAGCCGAGGAGGACATCATGTGCTAGCCTTAGGCAGTGTGACAGTACGGTATACCAGGGTATTCAGAAATCCCGACAGTATGATTTTCAATAACGTCACACACACAGACGCTCCTCTCGCTGTCAGTGCACAACAGGTGCCACCAGCATGTTTGTTACATCTAACCCAGTGAATTAAAGATTGTTTTCGACCAAACTGGAGTCGATAACTGTTAGGACAGTGGACTAACTAATTAGAGGACTAACAAGAGTAACCAAGACGGCTAGGGTGAGTTTTATTTTGTTTCGGTCTAGTTTGAATGAAATGTGTTTTACCAATCGATAACAAGGCAATTCAGCCAGTCTTAGTTCCATCACTGATAAAAGGTGAACAGTGTATGTCTCTGTTTAATAATTTTTTAAATTTTTTACGAATTTGTATTATGTGTTTATTCATCTGAAAAAATGAGGAGAGCTTGCAGAAAGTACTGCCCAAGGGGTCCTAGGTCCTAGGGGGTCTTACCCTGGTAAATAAACAATATCTATCTATCTATCTATCTATCTATCTATCTATCTATCTATTGTAGTGTAAGATTTAATCTTAAATCAGATAAAAGTACTAGACTGCATAAGTTGATTAAGAGTGAAGTTCATATAAACATATTTTATGTTACAAGTTCCTATAAAATTGTTTGTTATGCCTCCAAGGAAAAAGCTCACCACCAATAGATTTGGGTCTAAGTGGGAAGGATTAACGAAAAGAGGTGGAGATTCTCTCGAACCTTCACCAGCATATAAGAGAGCGCACTCAATGAGTTGTATGTGTTGTTGCTTGTGAACACATTAAACTCGATTGCACCTGATTCTACTCGACTCCAGTGTTTCTCTAAGTGCTTGCCAACTGAACCTAAGGTACTAAATCAACATCAGAGGGCGACCTGCAGGAGAAGTAAGAGACGAGGTCGGGTGCCATTTGGCCCACTTCCAGGCACCGATTTTTGCTTCTACACTATCTATCTATCTATCTATCTATCTATCTATCTATCTATCTATCTATCTATCACTGGCATGTGTGAAATGCAGAGATAACTTAATAATTAGGTCCCAGTGTCCTAAAAGGAGATGATAATGTATTCCCAATGTCCTCAGATGAGCACTTCCTAGTTAACAGCATTTTAGCTTGTTACTATTACTAAAATTGATCACATTTGTTTGCCATATCAAACTATAGAGATCAAATTTGATCAGGTTTTGTTGATCAGCTGCAGACTGAGCATAAAAATGTCCACAAACGAGGACAACAGGTCTAAGCTAAGCAGAATGAAGTATAAGGGGCAGGAAACCCAAAATGTGATGACCTCATGTGAGGACAAAGGGTCTCAGGAGGAGAGACATCATTGTGAAATGGGCCGTTCAGCATGATGTGTGCTTTTACTTTTTGTACTTTAAGTATATTTTGATGCCACCGCTTTTGTAATTTTACTTATATGTAAATTTGAATGCAGGACTTTTACTTGTAACAGAGTGTTTTTACACTGAATTGTTGCTTCTTTTGCTTAAGTAGAACATCTAAGCAATTAAACCAGCTCTCAGTTCCCTGACAGTGTTAAAATCCATCTTAAACTCACCCACATCTTCTCATTTTTCATTTAGGTTTAATGAGGGAAATCAGTAAGGGACAATGGCTTCAACATGAATTTACCTTGTCAGTGCTACTCCAAAAGAAAGTACGTATTTTAAGTTATCTGTACGCGCAAAGTTAAGATATTTTTTTCAGGTATGCTTGGACTGATTTATACCTTCCAGAGAGCTTTATCCCTTCTCGACACCTGTCTCTGTCTCCTGGGCAGGACATTTATCTGAGACACTAAATGTCTGTGACACATTTGGACCCAGCCCAAGTAAAGACATAGATAGATTCACGAGATGAGTCATCTTTATTGTTTTAATAGGTCAGTGTGAGCCGGGTTCTTCTGTCTGTCAATCTCCTTAGTGCGTGTGAATTAGGCCCCGGAGGAAGCGAGCTGACACAAACAGCTTTGCGGCTCAGGTCCAAGGACACGAGACGACAGACGCTCCAATGTTCCCCTCAACTCTGAACCAAGTGACCCAGAACCCCACAGAGCTCACTCGTCTGCCACGGCTGATAAACTGGAGGCTGCTCTGTCTTGTCTGTTGAACGGAGAGATGGTCCTGGACAGTGTGCTGCTGAGTTAAGACACTTTGATCTGGTCTTTTTTTTAAAGTTTGGGTTTGATTTGTGGAGAGGTAACGAGCTGCAGTGATGAGGTGAGGTCCTGATGACTGAGTAGAACAAACTTTATATGGTAGCTGTGGTGAATGTTTTATTGGCTTCAGTCAAAACTGAGTGAAACTGTCAACATTATGAACTCCATATGTTTCATGAAGGTGTGTTTTGTTCCTACCTGCCTGTTCTGGAATTAAAGTGACAGTTTACCCCCCTCAGAAAAAATATGTGTGTGTGTGTGGGCAGGAGAGGGTGGGGAGTGGTGAGCTGTGCCTTTAAATATGCAGTTGTGCTGTTGTATAGCAGTGTGACTCTACAGTCTGCTGTTTGGTCTCATGCAGGGAAGTGCTGCAGGAAGTGATGCTACACTGTCGCCACCACCTGGACAAAACCTGCAACTGCAACACAAACTCCTTCAGTCAGGTGACTGAATTTACTGCAAGTGATGTCCACCGTTCTTGCTTTATGGCCCCTATATATTTACTAAATGTACAGTTATTATTGTTGAGTGTCTTGAGACCACTCCACAACACTGTAGGTGTAAATATTTCCTCTGCAAAGACTATCTGACAGTTAAAGTTAGTAAAGACAGAGGAGTAGGCTACAGGTGCTCTTTGGATGCCTTGGAGTACTGTGCTTGTTCCATCCTGCGAAGGGCTCATTACATGGGTGATACATGGTTATATCTGTATAAATATCTATATAAAATGCAAGTCCTCTTCAAAACAAACCTGAGGTCCACTGTAGGGTTTGTGGAAATTTAAACAGACCAACATGTTGCAACCGTAAGTAAAAACTACAATATTTGCCTCTGAAATGTGGTGAAGTGTTAAGTAATATAAAATGAAAATGCTCAAGTAAAGTACCTCAAAATTCTACTTAAAGGGACAGTTCACCCCAAAATCAAAAACATATTTCCTGTTAGTGTGAGATATTTAGTATCCAGCTTTTGCTTCTGCTCTGATTTTCAGCTGAAACAATTTTAACTGTTGATGAAAACATCCAGCGTTTGAAACACAGTATACTGACACAACATCCATGTGAAACACCTCGGCACAACTCATCAAAAGAAAATAAAACTTGCACTATTACAGGCTGCAAAACATTTTCCTTACTCTAAAATTGTACTCTATCTGGCCACCTTAAAGTGACAGTTCACCACAAAATCAAAAATACATATTGTTCCTCTTACCTGTGGTGCTATTTATCAGTCCAGATAGTTTTGGTGTGAGTTGCTGAGTGTTGGAGATATCAGCTGTAGAGATGTCTGCCTTCTCTCCAATATAATGGAGCTAGATGGCACTCAGCTTGTGGTGCTCAAAGCGCCAAAAACATACATTTGAAAAACTCAACAGCAATGTCTCTTTCCAGAAATAATGACCCAGTTACTCCACAGACCTTGTTGTGAGCAGTTTCACATAGGAACTATTTTCTTTATACTAAACTACACCTGCCAACTGTATCACTGTGCAGAATAAAGCGTGCATCTACTGCTAGCTCACCTAGCATCACTAAGCTAGCTCACCTAGCATCACTAAGCTAGCTGACGGTACAGCTCAGCCGAGGAGGACACCTCACACTGTCACGTGCATGAACCTCTTGTCCATGAGTAGATGCACACGTCCTTCTGTGCAGCGATACAGTTGGCAGGTGTAGTTTGATAGAAAGAAAATAGTTCCTACATGAAACTGCTCACAACCAGGTCTGTGGATTATCTTGAGTAACTGGGTCATGATTTCTGGACAGAGACGTTGCTGTTGAGTTTTTGAAATTAGTTTTTCGGCGCACCACAAGCTGAGTGCCATCTAGTTCCATTATATTGTAGAGACGGCAGACATCTCTACAGTCGATATCTCCAGCACTCTGCAACTTGCACCAAAACAATCTAGATTAATAAACAGCACTACAGGTAAGAGGAACAATATGTGTTTTTGATTTCTGGGTGAACTGTCCCTTTAAGTACAGTACTTAAATAAAAGTACTTAATTAATTTCCACTGATTCTAAACTCTTTTACAAACTTTTATCACCGCTTTAACATCTCTGCAGCTCCTTTATTTCTTTTGCCTTTAAACTTCTCTGTAGTTTATTGCAGTAAATGAAGGGCCATGCACCTCCTCCTCCTCCTCCTCTTCCTCTGTTCCCCCTCTTGTGAGAATGTGGAGCAGGACTATGCGATGGTCCGGGGTGTATGTAGGCCAGTGATAGGCCTGCATGTGCTGCTCTGTCTTTGGCTTAAAAAGTTCAAGTCATTATTCTCCTCTTGCTCCTATTCAGCCGAGGTCCCGTTGGCTCATTGTTATTCTGCCCGAGTGACAGGGAGAGAGGCGGACACAGAATGGGAGGCTGACTGGGGCTTCCAACGGCAGGGAGCTGGTTGTACTGGGCGGGGGGTTTTGTCGGTGCTGGTTTTTCTGGCCGGTTATTGCGGGCGTGAAGGCATGTTGATAATCGGCTCAGTAATGAGGAGAGGTACTGAACGGCACCAAATATCTGACCCCGATTCCTGGGAGTAGAGAGAGGCAGAGGACAGGGGGAAAGTGTGTGTGTCGATGTGTGTGTGTGTGAGGCAGAGAGGGGGGAGAGGGCCATGTGAAAAAGGGGTGGAGGGGAGCTGAGATTTAGTGCTCTGCTGGATGAAACAACCCCCCACTAACTAACGGAGAGGGAAAGTAGCCTAATGGGAAGAAAAGAGAGGGTGTTGTACTGTTCATTTAACACTCAAAGACGCGCAGGAAGCTTTTATCGTTTCCCACAATGAGATCAGAAAAGGTATGTAACTTTTTTTTTGTCAAGTTGCTGAATTATGTTACTGTTTTACAAATGGAAGTGGAGCTGGAGAGCAACAGGTAGCTGTTAGGGAGCTGTGGGCAAATGGCAGGGTGCTTTTTTCACTCAGGAAAAACATCCACTGTGTAACTATCCAGATTATTTATGCAGCTTTACATGTACAGCACAGTTTGGATGTTTTATTTCTGTTGTGGTGCATTTGTCTCAGTAGTTTAAAACACTCTGATTGTCAATAAGATGAGATGATGTGGAAGAAAAGCCTCATTTAGTACTGGAGTTTTGTTTTAGCTGCAGTGTGGCAACCATTAATTGATATTTAGTGAAATGCAAGAGGTAGATGCATTAATATCTGGCAGCATTTCACCATAAGACAAGACAAGATAGCTTTAAAACTATGATAATTTTCAAGGCTTGCATGAATCCTTTAAACACAAATTTGTTTGCAGTGTTTTAAGAGTCTAAATTTTGAAGTGACATCAGAGCTGCAACTATAAAATGTCAGAAAATAGAAGCAGTACCATCATAATTTCCTCTGCAGTCAACTTTTTTCCCCCCGATCATCATTTTAATAACCAAAAATATTCAGTTTATTGTCATATAAAACAGAAAATCTGCATAAATGTTCAGATTTTTTTGGGATTTGGGATTAAAAAATACTCAAACAAGTGAGCGACAATTCTTCTTGCAGCCTTAAGTGACATTAATGGTGTTTAACTGCTATGTTTGCCTCCACACCATTAGAAGACATTTAAAGAGGCCACACCACATGAATGCACCTTCTGTACCAGTTTCCCAACCACCTGCAGACTGTTCCTGTGGCATCCTGGAACGAACAACACTTTATTTCTGAGATTTAAACCACACTAAGCTGGAAAACACACTTTTAATGTAGCTCTAGTGTTTTTAAAGATTGTGCAAAGTGACAAAGTCCTAAAAAAAGGCAGTTTGCACAAAGCTCCCACTTTTCTGTTTCATCCTGCAGCCTGTTCTGGCTCTCCTGAAAAATTACAGCCTACACCAGGGTGGCCTTAATGAGCAAGAGTCTGGAAATGTTTTCTTTGTGTCATATACCATTAGCTGATCTGGGTCAACGTTTGCTCTGTAATCTCGCTGTGATAACAAAGGAGGGCTGCACAGGGAAAACCAAATGAGCATTTTGCCATTAAATCCAGACTGGAAATCCTTTGACCCCGGAGCAGTCCCCGACTTGATCGTCCTCTCTGCCGAGGAAACATGGTTGTCGCGTGTTTATTCAGTGCTCTGACACCTGTGACTCGGCCTGGAGGAGCCCATTGTTCTTATCTGTAATGGTATAACTCGTCTGGCACACGAATCTTGGAGAAATATTTGGGTTGCTGTAATGTTGCAGAGCGATAATGCAGAAACTGGCAGCTGAGACCCAGAGTGAGATTCGTGGGAAAATAACAGTGCTGGTCTCAGACAAGACGGTGTGACATCCTCATAGCTGGCTGAGGTGCTGTGGCTCAATGGCCTTAAAAGTCCTCTGGATGATTTAAATGTCACACTTTCAGTCCTTCACAGAGAGAGTGGAGGCACTAAATAGTCAAGTTCATATTCTTGTTTAGTAAATATGAAGAGTTAAAAGAATTTGGGCAGTGAAATGTTATAGGCACTCCCTTAAAACAAGGTAGAAGCTTCCAGTCAGTGATGATAAACCTCCAAGTATTTAACAGTACAGTTGCTTTTGGAGGTTCTCTGTACACATGCTACATTACAAAAATCTGACACTCATCGTTGTGAAGTTTTCAGGATTAATCAATTCATTTAGGCCGTGATGGTGTCTTTGAAGTGTTTGTTTTATTCAGCAATCTGTCCAAAACCCAAATTTAGTATCAGTTCTGACAAATTAATGAACTTGTCTGGAGATATAACTTCCCATAATTCCTTCTCCCAGCTGGTGAGTGCTTTAATTTCCTGACTTTGAGCTTCTTCTTTTAAAATTTGATAGATGTGACCTAATATGTTTTTTGTGTTTGCTTTATCAGGTGCTTTTATTACGCAAGCTATATAGGTTGTATCTCAGTCACTGTTGTAATTATTCCCAAACAGTGAATTTTTGGTATCTTTGAATATCAGAATTTAATTTAATTGAATTATTTAATTTAATTTAATTTAATTTAATTTAATTTAATTTATTTTATTTTATTTTATTTTTATTTTATTTTATATGAAAAGGACAATGTACATTAATTAACATTTAAACAAGTGTAAATTCACCTGAGTTAGCTGAAAGGTTTGCTTTCATCAACAGTCTCTTTGCCTGATGTTATGAGGCATCCTAAAATTAAAAAAAACAAAAACAATATATAATCGTTAAAACGTACATTATTGTGTTGAAAATACATATACAAGTTAAGTATAAGCATAGGCTCAATAGGCCTATGAGTCCAGTCATTTTACAGATAAATAAAGGTGGCATCAGTGTTGACATTATTGGTTCACATTACACTAAAATTAATATGATGGGAGACTTTAATTGAATGAAATCGTAATTGATTAATTTATATAATGATCAACTAATTGTTTCAGCTCAATAGCAGATAAATACAAATTCCTCTGAGGATGTGACTGTAAAACACCTCGATTTTTTTGCAGATTTGGTGCAGAGAGAGTTTTCATGAGAGATCATCACTAACTACAGTGTATTGTTTCTTCTTTTTTAGGGGATTGCTGTCTGCTGTAAAGCCTAGGGCCCTGAACAACAGAAATAATCAATATAGACGTACATAGCGGCAGCAAATAACCAAGAGAGCAAAAATGTCTCGAACAGAAGAGGTCAACAAGATGACAGAAAATGTCTACAAGGTATGTCTTGCCTTCTCCACCCTCTAGTTTGAATCACTAAAAACCCTGTTTGTCACATACACTGTCACACACAGTAAACTGTGCAGTGAAATAATACCATATGAGAGCCATAATTTGCCTTTCCTTGTTATTTGTGTTGCCACCAGGGGATTCTGGACCAGTTCAACCCCAGTCTGAAGAACTTTGTGACCATGGGGAAACACTATGAGAAAGCCCTGACAGGTTAGTCAAACACAGGATCATTCAGATGCTGTCTTTGTCTGAATAACAGAACAGGATACTTTTCAGTTTTCCACTAAAATGAACTCTCTTCTTCAGGAGTGACCGTGGCTGCCAAAGGGTACTTTGATGCTCTGGTGAAGCTTGGAGAGCTGGCGAGTGACAGCCAAGGCTCCAAAGAGCTGGGTGAGTGGGCGGCTGGTAGAGGAAAGACGGTGCTGAGGGGGGGGGCATTAAAATAAATTAGTGATGGACCTAATAAAGTTAAGAGAGTCGACGTGACAGCTGGAGAGAAAGCGGTCTGTGCTGCGTGTGTTGGTGAGGGAGGAGATGAAGACAAGAGGGAATGAGGAAATGTAGAGAGAGGGAGAGAACAGAGGGACAGGGAGAGAGTAGGGTCATTGTTGGGAGATTAACAACACCACATGATCTCATTGTAATGCTGAAAACAGCGGGGGAGGCAGGCAGGAGAGTCGGAGGGCGAGATGCCAGCCACCACATACTACAGTGCTGTGTGACCGAGGGAGGGACTCACAGCTGACCGCCACTTTGTAAATGAGAAACTGAGTGAAAACAGCTTTATGACATTTTACTGATGTGTTGTCCTGCGTGTATGTTGATGTTGTGAACTTTTATTATTAGAGCTCAGATGTAAGATTTCCTGCACATGTGAAAGATCCACTCTAACTAATAAAAGCAGCTCCAAATCATATATAATACCAGTCATACAAATATAGCTGCCTTCACTGTCCTGTTCTTTCCTGCTGCTCACAGGAGACACACTGTTTCAGATGGCCGAGGTCCACAGACAGATTCAGGTGCAGCTGGAAGACGTGGTAAGACTCCGCTGGTCTGCATTAATTACTTCATGTTATCGAACCATTTTAAACATCATATAATTTTTAAAGGGACAGTTCACTCCAAAATCCCAAATTCATATTATTCCTCTTACCTGTAGTTCTATTCATCAGTCTAAATTGTTTTTGGTGTGAGCTGTTGAGTGTTGGAGATATCAGCCGTAGAGATGTCTGCCTTCTCTCCAGTATAATAGAACTAGATGTCACTCAGCTTGTGGTGCTCACAGTGCCCAAAAAAACCCCCATCATGCCCTGGTTACTCAAGATAATCTACAGACCTTGTTGTGAGCAGCTTCAATAGGAACTAGGAATTCGTATCACCACACAGACGGAAGTATGCATCTACTCATGGACGAGGGGCTCGTGCTCATGACAGCATGAGTCAGCTCAGTGGAGCACCTAGCTCAGTGGTGCTAGGTGAGTTAGCAGCAGATGCACGCTTCCCTCTGTGCAGTGACATAATTGGCAGGTGTAGTTCATAGAAAGAAAATAGTTCCTACATGAAACTGCTCACAACAAGGTCTGTGGATTATCTTGAGTAACTGGGTCATGATTTCTGTAAAGAGACATTGCTGTAGAGTTTTTCAAATGTAGACTTTTGGCGCTTCAAGCACCACAAGTCAAGTGCCATCTAGTTCCATTATATTGGAGAGAAGGCAGACATCTCTATGGCTGATATCTCCAACACTCTGCGACTCCCACTAAAAAAATCTACACTGATAAACAGCACTACAGGTAAGAGGAAAAAAATGTATTTTTGGATTTGGGGGTGAACTGTCCCTTTAATAAAGCCTTGAAGTAGGAACTTCAAGTAGCACATAAACTGATGAAAGTAGTGCAGGGGCTGAATTATGTAGACATGTAGAGAGATCTCAGTTCTTTCGGCACAAGTTGCTCCCAGTTGAGGATTGAGTGTGTCATATCTAACTTAAAGTGGTCTATAGGATCTTAAATGGCAGAGCACCTAGTTGCCTCAATTACTTATCTCTCCAAAGCTCAACAACTCACACTGATAAGTAGTACTTAGAGAAACAATCGGGTGGACTGTCCCTTTAAAGTGCCCAGAAAGAGAACAATTTGTCAAGTTTATAAAGAAAATATTTTGGCAGCCTGAAGTGCAGGTTCATTTTTCTTTGTGTTACCAAGGCATACCACGTGGATGTGTTGTTTGTTTAACATCTTGCATATGGATCTTTTCATCAACAGTTAAAGCTGTTTCACTCTGAGCTGCTCGCCCAGTTGGAGCAGAAGCTGGAACTGGATATTAAATACCTCACAGTAAGTTAAAACCTCCATTCATGTTTGATCAGTTGTGAGAAAAACACAGTTGCTTAGTTTAAAATGTTAAGTTTAATTTGGAGAGCAAGGCAGTGTGTAGCACTTAGCTAATTTAAACAATGGTAAGAAAAGAATAAACTGTGGTAAAATAAGAATAATTGTGTAAATGTTATGTTTGATGATGGTATGATTAATGGCTAGAAAATAAATAAATAAATTGGACTCCACACTTATATCTTAGAGCATCTGATTTTTTTTCCACTTCCATCTCAGGCCACCCTGAAGAAGTATCAGAGTGAGCGGAGGTCTAAATCTGAGTCTATCGAGCGCTGCCAGTCTCAGCTGAAGAAACTGCGCAGGAAGAGCCAAGGCAGTCGTCACCCAAACAAATATGGAGACAGAGAGATGCAGGTAGGTGAAGTCCAAAGTTTTACATGTGCAGTGGGAAAAAAACACAGTACAGAACTTTTAAGTAGAATGCACAAACATGTAAAATGCTAAAGTTGCTCACTCAGAATTACGGCAGATTAAATAACAGTGCAGTGTGAGTGTTTGTGTAAGAAATAGGCCAGTGTGAATAAGATTAAAGAACAATCTGCCTCAGCTGATTCTCCAGGAAAAAAGCAACTTAGCGTTCAAGTCTTTACTGGAAGAAATATGAACGATATAACAGGGTGAAAGGGTTTAGGAGGGTTAGGTTGGAGGAAAAGGTCACCAGGGCTGATGGAAGAAAGATTTTTGTACTCATTGTGCAACAGGCAGGAAATAATGTCACACATTCTTCTCTTCATACAGCATGCGTTAAAGGTCACTCTGTTATTTAAGTACTACATGTGTGAATGTGAGCGTGCAGCTGGACTGAGTGTGCATGTTTAAGGTTGTTCAGGTTTGCAGTGAAATCTTTGACTTTTCTTCAGTTTGTGGAGTTGATGAGTCGTCGCCAAGGAGAACTTGACACGCTGGTTGCCGCAGGTTACAAGTCTGCGCTCACAGAGGAAAGGAGGCGATATTGCTTCCTGGTGGACAGACAGTGTTGTGTCACCAAGCTGCTCATCAACTACCACTCCAAGGTGATCTGCTCACATTTACTTATGTATTCAGCAAAGTAATGTTTCAGCTTTATGGAATCCAGATGTATTCATCCACACCTGAAAACAGTCCCTCACAAATTCACTATGTACTCCTGTTTGAGTGACATTGCTAAAAACAGTTTTGGTCTTGTCATTTGTCTACAATTATCTGTTAACAGTATTGTGGTTTTCTCTTGCTGTGCTTTTGAACATAATCCAGGTGAGAGAGCTTCTGTCACAGAAACTGTCATCTTGGCAGCAGTCATGTTCTCAGCCCACAAAACTCCCGGAGCGCGCTCTGAATCTGCTGCGTCACACCGCGCCTCAAGGCTCAGGGGCTGCTGGGATAGCCGAGGTCCTCCGCCACACCAAGATCGGCTCTGCTCAGCCAGAACAGGTCAGATCAGTTTTGTTTATACTGTGTCAGATGTTTGATGTTTTCTCACTGGACTTAAAGGGATAGTGCACCCAAAAATGAAAATTCAGCTATTATCTACTCACCCATATGCCAAGGGAGGCTCTGGTGAAGTGGCGACCCAGATTAAAACGTCCAAGAACACAGAATTGAAGCCATAAAATATCTCCATACTGCTTGTCTGTAGTGATTCAAGTGTCCTGAAGCCCCGACACTTGGATCACTACGGACAAGCAGTATGGAGATATTTTATGGCTTCAATTCTGTGTTCTTGGACGTTTTAATCTGGGTTGCCGTCAGCCATTAGGTGTGCAGTTGTGCTGCTACCCACTCCCCCCTCAGATCTCTGAAAGTGTTGTGAGGACTCTAAAACTTCACCAGAGCCTCACTCGGCATATGGGTGAGTAGATAATGGCTGAATTTTCATTTTTGGGTGCACTATCCCTTTAATCATATATATATATATTTTTTTTAATCATAATAGAAATCCTTGCCATTTTTTTAAAGCTGCAACTGAACACAGTGTGAATTAAAAGATACAAACTATCTCAAGTTCAAGTTCAAGCTAAGTCCCAAGTCAAGTCACAAGTCCTCAGCTTTTTGACTTGACTCCTAAACAAGTCATTTCTGGAATTAAGAACAGTCACCCATCAATGACAGATTTGTAGCTAAGATGTTACTGATTGTTGATTTATATTAAAAGACAACATTTAGGCTTATAAAATCTTGAATGCACAGTCTACAAGTCCTTATGTGATCTGAGATATCATCTGTTGTCTGTAGTTTGCACACGGTTTTAGAACTTCCAAGTTATTCCCTCTGAATCAAAAGCTTTACAAGAAGCATTTCACTGCATGAAAGATGGCCTTGTCATTAAGCTGTGTTGTCTGTGTAGTAAAAAAATATAAATAATATAAATAATACTTTTGAAATTCCGTTTTTACAATAAAGGAAACAGTGTGGTGCCCACTTCCTGTTCATAAATTCCCGTATTACTTCCAAACAGTGCACTAAAATATGTTTATAAAAACATAGACAAGAAATGTGCAATACAGTCACATAATCTAGGTTTATATTTGATCAGCACTGCTTAGTTTTACCGTTTGATTTGACTTTGGTCTGTGTTTGAGAGAGACAGAGCGGCAGCATCTCCTCCGTTCTTGATCTACTTCTATAATCTTTGTGTACGTGGTGGCGGTGGGTATACAAAAATGAGGAAGTACAATCTCCAGTTTGAGCAACAGCCCTAGAGCCTGTGAAAATCTTGGGTGGCAACTGAGCAGAGAGATCTGGGTGCTGGTAAGATGGAGGGAAGTTTATCACAGTTCATGTACATGTACTACTCACATGGTTATGATACCATGGTGAAAATCAGCAAGTATTCCTCTAATTCCCAGTGAAGTCACAAGTCGTTGGTCTTAAAGTGAAATTCAAGGTGACAAAGTCCTTTTTGATTTGCCAAGTCGAGTCTAAGTCACCAGATTTGTAAGTCTGGCTCTAGTCTAAGTCAGCGGACTCAAATTCTCACAACTACTTCTAATTCCTGGTAATTAACAGTACCTGTCTTTGGTTTTTCAGAGACTCTCAGTGCAAGAAGTCCCTCCTCTGTTGAATGGAGACTCCAGTCGCTCCCAGCAGCAGCGGTCACTCCCCTCCTCCTCCTCCCAGAGTGAAACCTGTCCTCCTCAGGGCTCCCCCCACACTTTCCGCTCCCTCTCTGGTGGAGGAGCTGCTGGAGGTTCCTCACGAGGAGCGTCTCCTCAGCACACCAGCACGCCCCTCAGTGCATCAGCCAGCCCCCTCCCTGACAGCAGCGCCAGCAGCAGCGCCAGCCCCGCTACATCCACCCCCACCACGTCCAGCGGCTCGGCCCAGCAAACCGCTCTCCTCTTGGCTGCCAACACATCCAACCTCTCCCCGAGTCTCATCCCCTCCACGGTGATGTCAGTCAGCCAGGTCTCCCCACCTGGCAGCACCTTGCATGGCATGACCCTCCCCATCCCTCACAGTGCTCCTCACAGTCCTCCACTGCCCCACAGTGCTCCTCTCTCCAGGGCCATGACTCCTGTGCAGCTACTGCACCAACAGGTGGGACCAGGAGGAAGCAATACTTCATCACCGTCACATAACCCCTGGCTGCTGAAGACCGCTGACATGTGTACAACTGCAACGCTTCCACTGCCACGGAGACCTGTCAGTGAAATGAGGCTGGGCGGCTTTCAGGGTAAGATGTGATAAGTCTCCTCCCTATGTTTGAGTGTCTCCTTCACCGTTTTCTTTTTATAAATTTTAGTCCACATTGATTTGGAGTAGGGATGTCAGTGTTGGTTAATTTTGCTGTCAATAGCCCAACACCTATTAACCAGTTACTTATTGGTTAATTTTAAGGGGGAAAAAAACACAAAATTACATGAAATATAAGAGGTCTTTCCTTTTATTCTGATGCTCCATTGACACAGGGAACTTTAGCACCACATTTTAAAGTGCAATTTATTTACAGGTGGGAAAATTGAAATGTTTAGTGATGTAAATGTCTTGCCTTTTATTTTATGTTCTGTTGGCTTTGCAGACAGACAGCTGGTAAGCCGTGTTAACATGCGGAAACATAATGGCAACTGCCCACCTTCTGGACTCCACTAGTTAGCTAACATTACCCATGGCCTGGTGTTATAGTGCAGCCAAACAAACTCCATTACTTCCTGACTATAAATGCTTTTAATGTGAAGCAGCAGCTGAGGTAAAAGTTGTGTTTGCAGTATTAAAATACATACAGCTGTGAGAGAGTGAACATCATACAGCCAGGCTGATATCAGTGAGATAAATCACAGTAAAGATGGATTGCATGCATTCATCATTTTTAAATCTCTTGTGTATGAGCTGACAATTTGAATCCAACATGGTGGAACTGGCGGACTCCGACATTAAAAATGTAAACTACTATATAGAGCATTTCAAATTTGACATCATAGGACGCATTCACACTGGTGCTATTTGGTACGCTTCCACAGATAGTTTGGTTCGTTTGGAGTGGTGTGAACGCTCATTCGAACTCTGGTGAGGACCAAACAAGTGCACCCTGGTCCGCTTGAAAATTGGGGGTCTCGGTTCACTTACAAGTGAACCATGGTGCGGTTCGCTTACAGTGGGAAATGCAAACAGACTATCCAGCGAACCAAAGAGAGGAAGTGACGTAGAGCACAGTGCATTTTGGGTAGAAAAAAAACAAAGCCAACAGTGTGAAACAGGAGGAGCAGAGGTAAAAAAAGAAAAAACAGAAACCCCAAGACTTGGTGTTGCTCCATCGTTTTTGTGGTGACCAAGTTGGCTGAAGGGGATGGATTTCCGTTTTCGGTCCTGGCCAATCGATGAGCCGGGTTTTCTTCTTCCTCATGCATTTTTTCTTCCCAGTCAGTGGTTGATTAGGGCAATACTGCCCCCAAACGACGCAGCTGTTGTAACTGTGTGACGCTGTCCAGGCGGTTTGGTCTGCTTTAAAAAGTGCAGTGTGAAAGTGAACAGAACCAAACGAGGGTTTGAAATTTTCCGGCATTCCCCGCCCAATCGAATGGAGTCCCCTGGACTATCCTGGTGTGAATGTGCCCATAAACATCCTTTGTATATCTTGTTGGGATGTCTGTTGATGCAGTAGCTGACAGGAAGTAAACAGGGACCAAAGCTGTTACCCTAGCAACAGAATAGCAATGAAACGCTCTATACCTGGAATATATATCACTTTTCTATTGCATAAAAATGACGACCATTAACAGTATCTCAAACAGGGTTTGATTACAACCCTTTCCTCTACCTAGGCTCCAGTCTCCCCAGGATGCTGCCTTTATCTGGACCTACCCGGGTGGAAGCCATGTTTGCTCACTCTCCTGGAGCATCCGAGGGCAGCGGTGTAGGGAGTGGGGCTTGCTTACTGCACTTCCAACCTGGTGACAGCATCACCCTGCTCATCTCCGAGCCCAGAGATGGGTGGCACTACGGTCAGAATGAACGAACTGGACGGTAGGTTTTACAAATCACACACTGACATAGAAAACCACTCAATGATCTGCTGCATGAAAGACTCCAAAAACCCACATCCGGTTCCATCAGTGGGTTTTTGAGTGGGCTTTGGTTAGATTCTTGAAATAAAGTCTGTGGTTAACACAAGCTGAAGAGACTCTCCATTGGCTTTTTGACAAGGGAACCAGGAGGATGTTAACTTCTGGGCTGGCCTACAAGTAAACGTCATCCCTGCAGCACTCTATAACTTTGACAGGGCCTTGTAATAAACGCAATTAGAAGACTCTGAAATGTCTCAATGCCATAAGATGAGGCTGTATGTTACAATAACCAAACCACATCAGGGACACCACTTCCCCTTAACACTGCTTTTTTCTAGCTTACTGTAAGTACGGTATTTTTCTTTCTTACTTCAGAGGACTTTACGTATTGTATGTTGTGTTCACGCTTCTCTTTCGCACCAAGTTAAATTTATATTCACAAGACGAGAGATTTCTTCATCACACACAGACTGACTTGCATTTGTTCTTGTTTTATTGTTCACCAGTGGTCACATATAGTACAATTTTCCCTCACAGGAAAGGCTGGTTCCCTTTCTCCTACACTCAGTCCACACACAGTAAGATGGATCACCTCGAGAGGTGAGTCAGAGAAGAACAAACACTCAAATCTGTCAGTTTTCAGTGTTGTTGATGACCTTTGACACTCTTAATGACAGAAATGCTTCCTTTAATTCCCTTTAGATGTTTTATGACTCAGTGTATCAGCAACACTTTGAAAAGTAGGAAGTTATAACTTCAGTTGATTCACAGAAAACTTCATGGGGTCATTTTCATGTTGAAACTATTAAACACTCTTCACTTTTTCCTTCTGTATTCTTATTAAAAACATATTTCATGCCAGACTCAGAGAAAGAGCTAAGAAACTGCAGACTGATACTTATGGTTTGCCCTCTCAGTCTTTCCACCACCCTTTCCCCAACACGTTCACTTCCAACACCAACAGCTTTGTTGATGAATTAACTCAAAACCAACGTCTCTCGACTCTCATCATGTTTCCTCTGTCTCTTTCCTTGTATATGCTTTCCTCTCTGTCTGTGACCTTCCCTGTAGCTCGCTCTTCTTATCTAAGGCGAACAGCACCAGTACAGGCCAGCTCGACAAGCTGGTGTCTCCAGGTCTCCCAGCGCTCACCCCCGAGTCAGAGGAGGAGCGCTCCCTTCCTCCCCAGAGGGTCAGCACCTTCCGCCCGCGCCCATACAGCATGGCCGACAGCAACAAGGTCAGAAACATGAAACCATATGGAGGAGGTCAAAGGTCAATGTGTTCTCCTAACTGAGCCTCACTGTTAATGGAGGAGATACGGATGCTTCATAATAATGATGATTTATCTCTTATTTCCATTACAGATCACCTCAGAGTTGGTCTCTCCTCCACCCTCTCCAACCAGGTAACTTTTAGCAATTCAAAGGTGCTCTGTGTGTGTCATTAAAGGGACATTCCACCAATTTATATGTCACAGTCAATTTACTCATGACATTGCCAGACCAAATAACAAATGCAAGTTAGTCGTAAACCCCCGTTTGTTGTCATTCATTTTCCAAGGGGCCTTAAACGCCACAAAACAAAATGCCTCTGGTTGCAATAAGATAGACCTACAACCAAAGTACCCCTAGGGTAATTCGTATACTATTGATACTCAATTTACGGCCTGTGGGCCAAATCTGGCCCCTAATAGGGTGCCAGGTGCCCCCCCAAACAATTTTCCAATTCAAAGGGGGAAAAATTGATTCACACTGGGTTTTTTTTTTGGTACTTTTAACATACATTAAGCTACCTTTACACTGCCGCTTGGCTACCGCCTACCTGCAAGAGTGTTGTCCAGCATTCCTAAAAGCAGCTGCTGCTAGTATAGTCCAGGGCTGTGATGACGAGCATTTCCTTTGATGAACGTTGGAAGTGCAAGCTATCTTGGCACCATGTAGATTAACAGCTTCATGTAGCAAGATAACAGAAATCACTAAAATTACCAAAGATCTCTAAATATATTTGGACAATTTACCATTCATCTGAAGTTTGATGGAAATGTTATGACAGGCCCAGTTTTTTATTTATCTGCTCGGCGCATACTCTGTGCACGTTTACGTTGCCGGCAACTGCTTCATTCCCTGACTGCCATGTTTGAAACTGCTTCCCCGCTGCCGCCTTCCCCACATTGAAGTGACTGGAGGCTGCGAGTTACAGCACAGCAGTGTGAAAGCAGTTTAAGGTGCCAGAGTGCATTAAAAAGCATCAAAATGGAGCTTGTAATCAAAAAAGGTGCCAAGAGAGAACCCCCGTCCCCTGACAGATGTCTGGACTAAACCCCAGATGTCCTTAAAACCTAGAAATGTCCCTACTTTCATGTGTGGGGCCACTAACTGGCCCCTGACCTCCTCTCATTTTGCAAAAGTGGCCCCAAAGTGGCAATGTAAATTGAGTGTCCCCGCCATACCTCCATTTGAGAAACACCTTGCTACAGAACCCCTTTAATCACCAGTCTACGTGTGATTGTCATACCTCTCATTGATATTGTTTCCTCCTTTCAGGACTAATCCATTTGCCCACATTCGACTCAGAAAAACTGTCACCAACGATCGCTCCGCTCCCATCATTGAGTAAGAGTTTCATTCCCACAGCAGCAGCAGCAGTCCTGTTCTCTGTGGTTTGTCAGTCCATCAGACCTCAGGTTGAATCCTGGAAACAGCTCATTGGTTCACAGTTGATTCTTTACTTTGGATGTTCGCAAATTAATCAAATACAGATTGTGTTTTGTGTGCAGGTGTAGAACTTTTTAAATCAAAGTGTAAAAGGTTCATGCGTAAAGGCTGAGTTGTTTTAAATATGATTACAGTCCAGACAGTTTTGAGATAGTTAGGTAGGGAAAAAAGTAGAAACAAGACAAGATGCTATAATATCTGAAAATTCTGAGTGAAACGAGACATTGAAATAAATTCTAGGCTAGTTATAATAAAACAGAAGTAAGAGGTTTGGCTGTACTTAGCTTAGTGTTTGAAATGGACATAATGTGTCGTCCAGAGTAACTAACATTTGCAGGTTTTCCTGGCCTATGAAAGATGCCTCTCATATCTCTTACTGTTTTACAGTGCAATTTATATTCCTCAACATAACCTTTAATGTAGGGGGTTTTTTGTGCCATATTCAGAAAAGTTTTCTTTGTCGGGCTGATCTAGGGACTGGCTCCTAATAACAGGTTGTGAACTTTCACTGTAATGAAGTGTTACGGAAAGAGGACAGGCTCCTACTCTAAAAGTGCTATTACCATATTATATTTTTTAGGAAAGCTGCCAGATTGTTTCTTGGTTTCAGTGAAGGTGAACTTTTAAATTTATTCAAAGTGTCTTGTCTATTTTAAAAGGTGGTTGTTTGGTGGAGGAAGATTTGCCGTATTTTAATGAAATTGGCACAGTGACTTATTTTTGTGTCATTTTCACCTTAAATTTACTGAACATGGGAAATGCTGTTCGAGTGTTAAAGTCCCTGTCAGTTATATCTCATGTTTGTACCAGTTAACACTTCACACTGCTGCTGTAAAGTTACATATTAACATGTTGTGAATGTAGATGTTTGGATTAAGTTAACTCTTTAGCTGGACTCAACATGTATCGTGAAACAAATTCTATATTAAGGATCACGTGTGTAGGATTTAGTGGAAACTTCTCCTGTGCTGAGCGTGTAGGAGAACTACAGTGGCTGACGCGGAAACATGAATAGGCCCATCTAGAGTCAGAAGCTCTTTTTACATAGAGATTGCGCTACAGTGGTGCGGAAATGAGCCCTAAAACCCAGAATTGAAATCGCATTGTCGCACTTCTGGTTCCCTCGTCTCAAAGTCAGTGGGTTCCTGAATGGGTTTTTGGTTAGATGCCTGAAATAAGGTCTGTGGTTAAAGCTTAAGAGACTTACTTGATTTGTTCTACAACATAAAATACGTTAGTAAATGCTCCACTCATGCATTTCAATGCTATTATGCGTCTTTAAAAAAGCTTACAAGTGGCTAATGAGACTACAGAACGTCATCACGCCAAACACGGCTTTACAGCCTAATTGTGGTGGTGACGATGAAGTCATGCAATAGTTGTGTAGTTTGTCAGCCTAATGTTAGCTACTTACCTCTGGTGATAGCATTTAGCTCTAAAAATAAAAGTGGTGTTCATTTATGAAGGTTGAAGTTGTGTGAGAATCATAAACTTGTGTTTCCCACAGAGTTTATTTTCTGCAATAATCCAATGGAAAAATTCCATCGGATTTATGACAAGAGAACCAGGGCGACGTTAACATCCACGTTGGCTACAAAAACGTCGTCCCCACAGCACTCTATAGACCTTATTCTCGACCGCCTTTGCTTATTTACACAGAACCAAATAACTTCGGCATCATGATGCCCCAGTGTGTGATTCTAGACACCATGTAGGCATCCTGGAAGCAAACAAGGTGTGACGGGCATGACGTGTAACATGACAGCGTCAGCTTCTAGTGTGACGTAACATATGTACTGGCAGGGCTTTACAAACAACGACAATAGCATAACATGTTACTGTCCTGCTATATGGCAGCTGATCTCATCCTCTGCTCAGAGGGTTAGAAGCTTTCGATTTGACTTGATTCAGCGCTGTTATTACTTCGGCTAACAGCTTAAAGGTGAGACAACCCCTCCCCCCATTCTGCAATCGTGCCTTCTATGGAGAACAGTGAGGCTAAATAACGGTGTAATGTTCCTGCATTGGCTAGGCCGTGTAAAAAGGGGCAAGAAACAATAAAGACAACAGGCTCTATATGTACAGAAGATAAAAAGGGCTCATTCTAAGAAAACAAAAAATTCTTAGTTTCGGGAGGTTATAAACCAATAAAATCAGAGTTATGAATATTATGTACCATTTCTGCCAAAAGAGGCCTCTAAATCCTACACACTGAACCTTTAAATTTGATTATTCAAATAACCGATCAATTAAGTGCTTATTTAACACAGAGTAATTCCTCCGAAACACAGAAACAGAAAAGCGTACGAGCTCCACAGACACAAAGTGTGACAGTTAATAGTTGAACGTTTGGACGATGTTTTTACAGGAAGTGTTTATTTTAGAAAGTAGCATGTCGTGGAGGGTTCAAAGTGGTAAGAATTGGGTGCTTAGTCTTTGGATTTGATGTCTTCTTGATTCCTTTTCAGTTCCACATCTAAAGCTAGACAACATCTAGGCTAGTCGATCGTAGCTGTACGTTTACCAATCAGACTGAGCTGAATCCTCAAGAGATGTGAAAGCCGAGACAGACGATACGATTGAGTTTAAACGGGGAAATGTATCTATGAAAGTGATGAAGAAAGCATATGGGAAGTTGACCAGCGTCTTAGCAAGTGTTTATGGTAAACTAGAGATATCCAAAGTAATATTCTGTAGTCGCCTCTAGAAAACTGTGGTTTAAAGGTGAAACTTTGTGCGAACTGAGATGGTTTGTGTTCCTGTTGTAACTGCCTTGAGTTCCTGTAATCTATTAGTACCTTGAAGATTCAAGATATCGGCCTCAAGGGTTGTAGTAAATCATTTCTAACAGCATTATATATGACTTTAAATAGTATGGCATCATTAATAAAGGTGACAGTAATATGATAGAGCTAATGCTTATTCATGCTTGTAAATAGTGCTTAAAACATGTGTGATTGTATGACTTTTATTTGACTTCTTTTTGTTATGATATTTCACTTTGGGGGAACATTTTGACTTTGTAGAGGCAGCGGAAACATAAACCTCCCTGAACATGTCAGTCGTCATATTCCAAGTTTTCTCACTGACTCTCAATAACACAGTAATAATACAGAATGACATATTAATCTGAATGTTTTAACTGAGAATACGGATAAAAATTTACTTAAATTTTGAGTCACAGCAGCATGTGGTTATTGTAGTGGCCTGTGTCAGGGATTTATAAAATAGAGTAAAACATGAATTGTGTTTGGGGCAAGTGATACGGTGAAGAATACAATGCATGAATGAGAAATGCAAAAATTAGAGTGTAAGAATTGATACAGGGGAATAATGTAGTATATGTACAACATATAAATATATCTTTAGTGTGTACATGAGGAGTTTATTAAAATTATAAACATGTAACATGAAATTTATGGCAAAATGAATGAACACATTTACAGCCAGTCTCCGAAATGTTATGTGTATACAGGAAGTAAATGTATAGATGTCTAAAAGGTGGCAGATGAAGGCATGTTCTGCAAAAAGACGTTAATTAAACCAGAAACTTGTGCAAAGTCCAAAACTCTTCTTCCAGAGTGAAATATCGTTTTAACATTGCACACCAGTTTTACACAGTTTCTCGTTTCTGTGAAAAATATGAAGCAACGTAAACAGACTGTTTGCATCTACATGAAATCCCGCCGACTGCAGAAGATATTTTATTGTGATGATGAATACTGCTGAGTAAGACATTCTTCACCTGACACACTGAATATTGACGTGTTGTGAAATAAAAGTTCTATGAAGGAAATCTCTGTCCACTTTTGCTCTGTATGTTTATGAATCTGTCGATGGAGTGACACCAAGGCAAACACAGATATTAAAGGGATAGTTTGGATTTTTTGAAGAGGCTTTTTATGGGGTACTTACCTATACTCCATGTCGATGTCTGTCAACATGCCCCCAGTTTGGAAAAGCGGCAGGAGTGCTGACACAGAAGCTAAGTAAAAATCAATATCACTATAAGTGGACACTATATTGAGACTATTTTCACCTTGCTGTCAGACAACCTGTTCTGACGGGGAAGCCCATTACAGGTTCAGTTACCCATCTCTTCAAAGCCACCAGACTCCACTGACAAAAACATAATTTTGGTAGCTGAACACCGGAGTTGCTGACCTACAGCTGTCTCAATCAGTTAGTTAATCTGTGTTATTGTGTGACTTTGTTGCATTTAAACTAAACCCTTTATTTATTTTTTGGTAAAGATTTGTTTTTATGTGCAGGAGCAGTTCCAAAAATGTGTCAGATTTCCATTTGTGCATTTGAAAATATTATTTTAAAAAGAAAAAGTAAAAGGACAAAGATACTTATCCAAAAACACTGACATTGAGAAGGAGAGGATGTACTAGAACTAAACCTTAGGACATTTTGACACACACACATATTAATAAATTCATGAATGGATCAGAAATGATCAAATTGGAAAAGAAAAACACGAAGTTGTTCAGCATCAACCCAATGTTGTTCTCAATGGAGTCTGGCTTGAAAGAGAGCGATATTACAGCTTCAGTTCCCTGTAGAAATCGCTATCTGACGGCAAGATAAAGCAGTGAAAATATTCTAAATATAGCGCACCCTTAAACTGATATTGACTTTTTCAGGTGGCTAGCATTTGTTTCACTGCTGACCCCTCCACAGCAGTACATTGATTAGCTTCCATGTCGGACTCCAGCCTGCTTCTCCAAACTGGAGGAGTGCCAACTGACTTTACTGAATGTAATACATTGACTATGGGTAAGTACCCCATACAACCCCACTTCAAAAGATCTAAACTGTCCTTTTAAAATACATCTTACTGAATACTCCTGTCTCATATTGTAACTGTAGCAGCTGAGTCCCCATGCAGTACTGCTCCACATTCTGTTCCACTACCATTCTTACTCATGCAAGCAGAATAATGCTGGTACGTAACGAGGAATTCATATTTACATGGTGTTAATCTGATTCCAGCTTTGTTGAGTTAATCCTCTTCTGAAAGATCAGGGTTGTGCTAAAGCTTAGTTTCAAAACTCTCACGAGCTGCTGTGGAAAATCAGAAATCTTAATGCCAGGTTGTGTTCTTACAGAAAAAGTATTTATTTCCCATTTGTGTGTGTTTTTAGATGTTTGTCTGAGTCTTTCATGTAGACTTACTGAAAACTGAAGTTGATATAATGTTAAGGTTTACTCTAAAAGGTGTATAAAAAGAATTAAGACTTATTTTTTTCGAACTTTTTCAAAAAGTCCAAATCACAAAAAACAATCTTGAACTTAAGTCTGAAGCCTTGTTCAACATGAACTCAGTGCAAATGTTATTGACTGCATTCAAACCAAACAATGTGGCACAGAAGTAGAATTAAATAAATCTTTATTGCAGGACATTGATAGTTGGAGCAGCTATGCAGACACATATGAACAAGAGGAACGGCGCAAGTTTTGATCATGCACATGTGAAGTTAGAAATTTTTAAGCCAGTCCAAGTTGGGTCCTTTTGGTTCACTTGGATGAGAAGGGACATCAGGCATGTTTCCATCATCTCGCACAGGGACTGCATTGGGAACGTAAGGAAGACAAATGTTATTATTTGATCACACAAAGGTTAACTTTGCACATTGTAGCATCTTTCAGTGACACACAGACACAACCTGCTGTAACAATAAGGCTGGGTATTGGTACTTGATGTCTATAAAAATAAGTAAATATTGTCAAACCCTCTCTAGTAAAACAATACCTGTATTCCACCCTTTTGTACCCAGATCTAGAAAAAAATGACTATTTGTATGGTTTTGTGTTATTTGATTTCATGCAACATGCAATTGGACCACTACCACAGCGACTACAACCCATACAGTCTGTGGTGTGGTGAAGTCGAGCACAGTGTATTTGGGGATGTTCAGATGGCAGTTCAGCATGCTGAGATGCCACCACAACGTTAAAAAGTATGGCGGTATTTAACCAACCAAATGCTTCCAATCATATGATAAGTATCAAATGAAGCAGGAAAAAAGGTATCAAATGAAGTTCTCTATTGGTATCGTTTTATGGCAATCCAGCATGCCCGTGTTGTGTCTAAGACTGTTTCCCTGACGATATGTGTTTCCCCCTAAGTTAGTTGCCTAAATATGAATCAACATTTTGTCTTTGGCTAACCACAGAGGAGGGTGCAACACATTATAACAGGAGGGAAGCAGTTTGTCAAGGGAACAGGCATCAACACAATATCAGCATGGCTAGTGCAACTGGTAATTCAGACAACCCAGCTACCTGTACTGCTGACGCTAATTTATACAAATATCTGAAGGACTTTAATGAACAAACCAGTACAGACTCAAATGGAAATCAAGTCATATTTTTATGTAAACTGTGTCCGTCAGGTCTAAAATAATCAAGACTGAGCGCGAGCCACATCAGTAACGAATTTTGAAACAATACATCAAGTTGAAGCATCTAACCAGTCTTGGGAAATATCTGCGACTAAATAATGATCACAAGATCAAATGTAAACTATTTCATTTTAATCAGTGTTGACTGAACTTCGAGATAGCTCCTGAGAAATGTGAACATGCACAACACTCCTGGTATTGGTACTGGTATCATAATTTGTTAAAGAACACCCAGCCAAATGCAAAATGATCAGTGTGAACAGTGTTTACCTGGGTAGTTGTATGGCACAGCCTCATTGATCATTCCTGTATACTTTGCCAGGGGGCTGATTACTGGAAGAGCAAGACCTGAGGATGGATATACACATATGAATTAAGTTTACAAACAGTATATTAATTACACTTTATATCCCACGTTATACATTATAAGTTCCCCGCAAGCTCTTAATATGTAGAGAGACCTAAAAGCATCAAACCATTATATATTCACTCTCACATGTAGGGATTTGTTGCGTCTGGTAGCAGAGTAGCGACGTTATATAATATGCTTATCTAATGATGATGCTGTAATTTTGGCTAGATGTAATTTAATTTCAATTGTCGAAAGGAGAAACGGTAAGTGGTGTTTTTAAGTCATGTTTGGGATTATCATTTACTCTTTAATGTGACAGCGGAGCCTTATGGGTCCAGCACTTGGCATACAGCTAACTCTCTTTCATACTATGATGCTTTTACTGACATGACGATAATTCAGTATTTCCAAATCAAGTTGTGCAGTCTGGTGCTCTCTTTCTGCCACACACAATTCTTAGCTAATGTAGGAAGCGGTTTACTACTGACCCAACAGTCCAATCCCGCAGGACACCAGGATAACAGGCTCCTTGTTCCATGCGTTTTTCAGGAACGCTGCGAGTCCTGCGGATAAAATAACAACACACAGGTGAAAACCCTCCACAGGTGACGGTTAGCTAACGTTAGCCACCGTTAGCAACACATCCAAGGTCACGTTTTTTGTTTTATTATGAATGAATATCATTATGTTAAAATAACTCCGAGTCATCGTGAGCGTAATTTAAAAACATCACAGTATTTATTTATGCCATATAGAGGTCTTAATAAACCCAATTTCGCTGAATGTTTGTACAAAAGACGAGAAACTAGCCACATACCCGCCATGTTGTCTTGTGTAGTATCAACCCAGAGCGGGTGCTCATGGGAAATGTAGTAATCTGAATGACGTATTATTTCTGCGCCTGTCGCATAAAAACATGAGCTCATCGACGAGAATGGGAGGACAGCTGCCCCTGCTTCGCTTAATATTTGATTTTTGTGAAGTATAATGTTAGTAAACGCGTTTAGCTAACCGACAGCTGACAGACTATAGACGTACACACAGTCTGTAGATTGTTATTATTATTTTTAGACGGTTTGTAGTTCAGTTTTATCCCCGCAGGACACAGCAGCTGCTGAGCACCAGTGATTTTGGACTTAATCATTCATAAATGTAAGTATTAGTTAGAATTATAGCATGCTGCATCTTATGGTAGTCCGTTATTAATGATATAAGGGCTTTATTTACTCAGTTAATTCACTTAATAACGTCGCTGCCCGTCCTAAGTTACCACTGATGAATGACCAGTGGTGAAAATGAACGTTAACCAAATATATTTACTCAAGTACTGTACTTAAGTACAATTTAACGACACTTTACCCCAGTCTTTCTATTTTATGTTTCTATATACGTCTATTCCCCTACATTCAAGAGGCAAATATTGTACTTTACCCAGCAGAACATAAAGTAATTAAAATTAGCACCACCTTAACTAGCTGCAACATTAGTGACGCTTTAATGCATCACTACTTATGATTAGAAACAGTTATATCCGTTGATGAACTTAAGGGCATCATAAAGAATGTGGTGATAGAGACATGTGCTTGTTTTCCTTGTGAGGCCACTATGCATGAATAGTTGTTATATCGTGGATATTTGTATTTTATGTTGTATTTGTTGCATTTTATTTTTTTTAGTTTTGATTGGCTGCTACCTAAGATTTTCAATGTCAATGGGACTTCCTGGTTAAATAAAACAAAAATAAAATACATTTGTAG